CACCTGTATTAAAACACCAGACATAATATTTTAAAGATATATACGTACTAGAAATTATACCTGTATTAAAACACCAGACATAATGTTTTAAAGATACATACATACTAGAAATTACACCTGTATTAAAACACCAGACATAATGTTTTAAAGATACATACATACTAGAAATTACACCTGTATCAAAACACCAGACATAATGTTTTAAAGATACATACATACTAGAAATTACACCTGTATTTTTGTCGTGCACAAAACTCATTAAGTTTCAAAATTTGACAAGTTTTCTATCCCAAAATACATGATACTGTTTAGTTTCAATGAACAGTACAGCCTAATTATGCATGAGGTATACAGAAGCAATTCACCACCCAAGTCTTGTGAAAATCCCAGAAAATGATGCGATTATAAAAAATTCCGTTTACATTTGAATTAACTATTATTACAAAAAATACAGTATTCAACACTAAAGGTCTTCGGCGAGGTTCCCGTTCGATATTATAAGTAAGGTGTTTAATCTAATCAAAAATTTCAACAGGTTCAAAAGGCTAGGTGTCTTTAAATCTTTAAAAATATATTTTGAGTTGTATACGCTTAACAACTTCCTGGTCTATATTCTATTCTTGTAGCGTGTATTGAGCACTACATCCCAACTTTGCATAATTTAGTTCGACCTTCTTTATTAGGTGAAATTTGAGTCTTGCAACGTTTAATTTTAGTGTACTAGGCCTAGTATAGCAGTTCCCACTTTCAAAGTTCTGGGAACATTTGTAGTTATGGGAATTGTTCTTGGAATTTTCGTTAGAAGTCTATAGATCACGCGACTACTAGCAACAGTGTTTGCCCGGTTTTGTTTTGTTGTTGTGCAATTATTACTCTGGGCATGCGCTCCATGCAGTAAATTTGTTTTACAGTCCATTTCAAACAAGCTCCCATTGTTTCAAAACTTGAAGCACGCGCATCAAAAGTTTAATTATGCATCTGTATGATTTGGGAATAATATGAAGAATACATAAAAATGTAGAATACATTATGGATCGCATATTTTTTTAAGTTATTGGTAAATAACAAAATTTTAGGAGGTAAATTAGTGAAACGTGATATTTACCTGAACCACGTGTTTTCTCACAGGAACGTTGCTGTATGTAAAATATAAAACGCTGTTGTAAAGTACGTAAATTAATCGGTTTATAATAATAGATTTACGACCTCTTCAACATCAGGTACTTGAAAGTTAAGTCCTTGCCGAACCTCTTTGCAAGGCATAGAAATCCACTGCTTTCGAACTCCGGTTTCAAATGGCACCTGGACAGGATGTCAGTCCGTTGCAGGTTAATCCCCAGCTAACAAGTGGGGTAACGTGTCTTGCTCAAGAACACAACAGCATAATGCGAGCCATCCTCGAACTCTCAACCATACGATTACGAGTCCAAAACGCAAAGCCACTGAACCACGTTGACCCCACAAAAAGCGTGAGAAGCGCTCAATAGAACGTGCAGAGTGACATCTATGAATCAACATTGTCCATGTATGATAAGATAAAACGTACAATATATATATATACATACACGTGTGTGTGATTTTATATAAGTGTATGGGCTGTTAACCAGTTGCGAGGTTTATCTTAATTGTTAAGTTCATGATTTGTTTAGTGTTTTATATCATGTCCTGAAATATCAAATGATTAAGATGGTTTCAGAATGAACCTACAGATGATCTAATAAAGCGTTATGCTGACACATGTGTTTAAAGTTACTGGCAAGACCCAAGTTACTGTTGGTAAAGAGTTGTTAGAAGTGAATGATGAGTTAACATTCAGCAGTAATAATGCTATCACTAAGGGTATCTTTTATCACCAAAGGTTCATGGGTATCTTTTATCACCAAAGGTTCATGAGTATCACTATGGGTATCTTTTATCACCAAAGGTTCATGGGCATCACTAAGGGTATCTTTTATCACCAAAGGTTCATGGGTATCACTATGGGTATCTTTTATCACCAAAGGTTCATGGGTATCACTAAGGGTATCTTTTATCACCAAAGGTTCATGGGTATCACCAAGGATATATTTTATCACCAAAGGTTCACGGGTATCACTAAGGGTATCTTTTATCACCAAAGGTTCATGGGTATCACTAAGGATATCTTTTATCACCAAAGATTCATGGGTATCACTAAGGGTATCTTTTATCACCAAAGATTCATGGGTATCACTAAGGGTATCTTTTATCACCAAAGGTTCATGGGTATCACTAAGGGTATCTTTTATCACCAAAGGTTCATGGGTATCACTAAGGGTATCTTTTATCACCAAAGGTTCATGGGTATCACTAAGGGTATCTTTTATTACCAAAGGTTCATGGGTGTTAGGACTACTTGGGAATTGCTTAAATTACATGACCAATATACATTATAGAGGACGTATTTTAATCTTTCAGGGGTGGTAGTTTTGTCTCCACAGGGACTTATTCATAAGTATCCAATAAGAACATACGGCCACTCTATCAGAAATTACTTTTATATTGACCTTTCTTTTTTTTTTTAGTCGGAAAGAAAACTGCGCGACAACAAAGGAAACAAATAGTTATTTGTATGAACATTTTAATACACATAGTTGCTGCTTATTGGTTTCGAATAAAAAAAATACCTATTCATAATTAGAATTAAAACAAGCAGAAATAACAGCACGTTAATGTCAATAGAACAATGTCAAAGCTGAAAAAAAATGAGTCGTTTTTCAGGCTGTTTAGAAGCATCACCTTAGGAACAACAATATTTGTGTCGGAGAATATGACATTTTGGTGATACATTTATTGAAATAACGAGTACGAAGACATCACCTCAAGAAGTGGACTGGATTCATGAATGTTGTTACCCGTCAAACATACTATTGGTGTAATAATGGCTGGAGACGGCTTGAATGGGTAATGAAGAAAAACTTTAATACAACAGCAAATGTACAACGTTTCGACAAAGTTTTGTCATCATCAGGGGTGGTGGTTTTGTCTCCACAGGGACTTATTCATAAGTATCCAAATGATGATGATGATGATGACAAAAC